ATAACTCAAACTCAACAAAAATCACTCAAGTTACGGCTTCTAGTTTTAAACAGGAAAAAAATTATACAACACTGTTGCTTGGATCACTCCCCTCCCAAGACCAGAATTCCTCCAAGATCTATGTTCTCTCATGTGACAATTCAGAATTAGATCTTTGGAGTATGAAGAAATTTCACCATACTGCTAGGTATCAGTAGGTGATGTTATAGATAGCAAAGAAGGCTGAGGATAATTAATGTTTCTGACTCTTCAGACTTAGATGATAGGAGCACTAGTGTGCCTTGAGGTCATGGTCATTAATACATGGTCATTGATATCCCAGGTCAGGGACCTATTGGAGCATGCTGCAGTTCCTGACCAGTCTGTATTCCTAGTTTTCTTTCTGTAGAACCAAGGGCACAGGATTTCTTCCTCCAGGAACCAATTTTCATCTGCATGATGAGCCAGGTCACAGAGTTTCCCATGCAGATATGGAAACTTGGATGTGCTCCTGGGTCTAATATTGCAGACATAGTCATGTCAGACATGTAAACATCATTAATATAGAGCCTAACACAGAGTCATCACTGTTTGAATCTCTCCTAATAACTGATACCACCACACAACATTACCCCTGCCTGAAAAAACTTTTGCTGGGGAAAGAGAGAAGTGACACCAAGTAGGGGGTAAGGAAGCACAACCTTTCTCCAGTCTCTCCTCTCCCCATTGCTGAAGCAGAAAGGCCATGTAAGTAGCAAAGTTACAGTTCTGCGTCAATGAATGCATTAAAAAGGGTTGCAATACAACACGTCCAGGTGTCACAGTGTAGTACTGACCACGAAGAGTAGATGAAAGTGGGGAAAAAGATTTTTGGCACAATGCCACAGTGTCTCAGTTCAGTGTTGACACCTAATGTAAAAATATTTGACACGATAGTGTTTAGAATTGCAACACCACCATGGTTTGGATAATTTGCATACAGTAAGTCTTAATTTGATTTTCCTGATAGTTTTTGCCTTGCATGTCTTGATCTCGCCACGTCCATTTCCAAATAATCATCTTTGTGTCTTCTTTTATTTTTTTTCCTGCTTATGTTTTTCTAGAACCCCTAATATTGACAAGCTAGCAGAGGAAGGAGTGACACTTACTCAGCATATAGCAGCATCCCCACTTTGTACTCCAAGCAGGGCAGCTTTCCTGACAGGGCGATATCCTATCAGATCAGGTAAAATGCCATTACTTTATTTATATATAAATATCATATTTTATGTGCAGTAAACTGTATGCAATTTTTATTCTGGCCTTTCTTGATATCTTTATCATTACGGGGTTAGGTATTCATTTCAGTGACTAATCAAGCTCAGCAGAGTTGGTCAACATTTGAAATCTTCCATATATATGGGAAATTTTCATGTTTCAGAAGAGTTAACACAAAAATAAAGTTTTTTAATTGAGAAAAAGTTTTTTTTTTTTAAATACTGAGGAAAAAATCAGATTGTGGTTATTTAATGTAAGGAGCAGACAAATTCCATCGACTTCCTCCGCTGTCCAAATGACCGTGGGCTCTTTGCCTGCCTCCCCAGTTGCATTCAGGCCACTGCCAGGATGTTGGTGGGCAGCCTGGGTGTTGAACATCACAGAGATGCATCTAGAAAGACACAGTGGAAAAACCCAATGTGAATCCTTCTGTTCAGACATTTCTGTTTCTACAAAACCTTTTGGTTTAGACAAATTATTATTTTTTCAGGGGAGGGGGGGAAAGACAGTTTGTATGCCAGCAGGCCTTAAAGCTGGGAAGAAGAAAGCAAAAAATCTCCCCTCTTTCTAAGTATTTTTGTTCCATATCTACCCATACACAGTGTTAAGTATCCTATGAATACATGCATTTGATAGCTTCTCTTACTTTTAAAATACCTGATCCAAAGCCCATTTGAGTCAGTAAGGATCCAGTCTGTTTATTTTAGTGTGCTGGGACTGAGCCCTTCAGTGCTTAGACATGCAACTTTAACATTCCTTTAACATCATTTTTAGTAAGGATCATTATACATTAATAAGATCACTTGTTCATTAGTGATAAAACATCCTGTCCTTGCTTCTGGGAATGAAAGCAAAGCAAGACTCTGGAGCTTACTTGGTATGTTCGTGCTCATTCAAATCAAGTAACAAGCTTCTGCAAAAGTGCCAGCTAATATAACTTGCTAAATTTTCCATTACATTCAGCTGCAAAGGAAAATTTTATATACCTGTTACAGCTATATTGCTATTAATATTTACTGTAGGTAAAGCCACAGGTCACTTTCCATTACGATCCATCATATTCAGCATTTGAACTGATTTTTTTCTTAAGTGATCTGCTCTCAGTCATACCTAATCATTTCCATGTAGGTGCAAAAATTGAACATTGTCTTAATTAAATTACGAAATTGCTAAGTATGGACTACTTCCAAACATCAGTGAAGAACTAGTAAAGAAACTAGTAAAGGATTATTATAGAAGATACTAGAATCACGGTGTGGAATAAAATGTTAGAAATTTAAAACTCCTGCTAATAGAGCTGAAGAAAACTATTCCAAAATGCAGTATTTGATGAGACACAAACTCATAGAAAGGTAATGATGAAAAAACCCCAAAATCATGGTTCTGTACTTTCATTCTGGTAACTTAAGGGAATTACACTGATTTCAGTTACAAGAGATCAAAGTACATAAAAATAAAAATAAATAAATATATAATAAATAAAGTATAGATATGTATAGATGACTGAAACTACCTAAACTGTTGATCAATAAAGCTAGCTGGGGTGACAAACTGAAGTCAACATTTGAGGGGTAGGTTGAGCTCTCTAATAAACCAGTCTAACGAGTCTTTTTCTCATCTAACCACAAGGGATACCTGAGGGAAGATTCCGGTTGTCTACATCAGTCATGTAACTTTGGCACTGCAAACATCCAGTTGCATAATTCAGACTTCCTGGAGAAGTCTGCACAGATTTGCGTAGATGTTCTGTGTTCTGTCTATCTATACTCAGAGCCAGCTCTCATCTGGAATCCTAGTAATCTAGTAATCCTAGTAATCTAATTTTCATGAACCTGAGCTCTCAAGTTCCTCATCCTGAGAGTAGTTTATAAGCTCAAGTTTGTGTTCCTAAGACTCTCAGTATATAGAAATTACTGTGCCTTATTTAGATGTTGTCTTGTTAGCTGATACCTGATGCTGCTTTAATGCATTCTGTGTGCATTGAATGATGTGTCTTCGTGCCATTGGAGCACTGGTCCTCTCCCATCAAAGCTGAGTGCCCTACCCACTCTCTTTCCAGAATCAGACTCTCTCTTGCTCTTTTTTGACTTAATGATATTTACATGCCCAGCTGTAAGACTGCCCTACTTCAACTCCCTTCTCTCAAATAACCTTAAAGGCTTGTAGAAAACCACGTATGAGGAAAGTGGAAGTTCTGAGAGTAGAACTTGGGAGTGATCTCACTCCATTCCTTCTCTGTGTACAAGAAAAATAAATTAGGCAAGCTCAACTTCTTTCAGATATGTTATACCTTAGAACATCTACAGAAGGGGCTGCAGCTGTTTATGTGATGGCTGGCCCCGCAGTTATAAGCAGAAATTTTTTTCTCCACTTCTCAATTTCTGGTGTCAATACAGAAAAGACCTCACTCAACAAAATGGATGATTGTATCTGCCACTTGCAATGTTTAGCATCTGGTGGTAATATATCATTTAAGTGACACCACCTAAAGTAAAAAAGTGCATGCAGAAAGAATGAATGGAAATTGTTTCATTATATTATCCAAGTCTCATTCATTTTCATTGTACTTAGGAATGGCCGCCTTCTCACGAGTTGGTGTCTTCTTATTTTCCGCCTCTTCTGGGGGACTTCCTTCTGAAGAAATAACTTTTTCCAAACTCCTGAAGCAGAGAGGTTATACAACAGCTCTAATAGGTAAAATTGCATACATACACAGCATTGTTTTTAATTCATTTCAATCAAACAAACATTAGCTTTCCATATAGGCTATTAAAGGTCTGCATTAAGCTTTTTTCCCCCACAGCATAATGAGTTTATTTTGCTAGCACAAAGCTGAGCACATTCCCATGCATATGTGAAACACTGATCAGGTAAGTATGTCTGATTCACTTGTGTAGTTATAGTCTCATTGTGCAAGGTACTGAAGAAACATGATGAACAAATTGAAAATTAGTCAAGCTCTTGAAAAGTTTTCAGTATAAAGAGGAGTTTGGTTACAACAGAGAGACAATGAGGGGTGGATCACAGGGTACAAGTTAGCACAGTGGTGGGATTCATTTCACCAGTTTTCAAATATCCATAAAGTAGACAATGTAGTACCTGGGCTAACTGCCTGGATTCTCCTCTTAGTCATCAGACAGAAATGGGCATTTCTAGGAAATTTGTCTCATCCTGTGGTAGATGTTTAATACAAAAATGTGTTTCTCTCTCATTATAAAGATAGTTCAGACACCTAACTGCAACATAAATACCCTGTAATGGGTAAAAGGAATCCCACCAGGTTAATATTAAATGGAATTGGAATGAATATCATAAAGGTATAGCATTTAAATAATGTTTGGGGGTTTTTTTCCTAATTTGGCCACTGACTTATTCTACACTGCTTATATTTTAGAAGATTTTTGTGAAATACAACTTGTATTACATTAATGTACATTTCTGTACTGGAAATGCCGGGAAGTAGTTGTTTAGAGAACATCATACTGGAATGTTACTACATTATTTTAGAAGCTGGATGCACCCAATTTGGTTTTTAAGTGTAACAAAAGCTTGCAATTTTGGGAGTAACTTTTGTTTAAAAATTGGGCTGTTTAGCAAGGCTAACAATTCACACCGCTGTTCAGAAAATATCCGTATTACGTAGGTAACTAATGTTGATGTTCCTAACTTAAAAATCCTACTTAGCTATACTCCAGTCTTATAAAGTATAAAATACCTTCATGTTCTGACAGATTCGAAACAGAAAACAAGAAAATCTTAACAGAAGTATATTTAGTGCAGGTGTATTTGAACCGTAGTGCAAAAAGACCATTCATAATTCATCATGTTCATCATGGAGTTAATTCCTATTGCTCCATATTCAATTAAAGACTGCAAAAAAATCATTTTTGTGTTTGTTACAAGCACTGTAATACAACTCATTTTCTGGGGCTGACCTAGTTAATGTTCTTTTTTTAACTGCTTTCACTGCAACATGACAGCTTGCCACTTAGATCTCCAGAAGTTATCTCCATGATGCTTAATGAACAATTCTTCCAAGTGGCCTGAATGATAGCTATGAAACCATAAGATGTAATATTACCATATCCTTAGTGTATAATGAAGGCTTCCAGAAATCAAGAAGTGCATTAAAATAAAGGATAAAGTATATGTAAATGACAAGAAGAAAAATTATGTAGATTCGAAGACTAGATAGACAGACTCTGATTCCCAACCAGCCCATTTGCTGCCTCTGCTGGTATTCTTATCACATCACATTGGTCTAGGTCATGGAGTCTTTGCTTGGTTCAGTCCAACTCAGCAGTTCCCAAACAATTAATTGTCAAATCCCGCACCAGTGATGGATTGGCATAAGGGTAATTTGAAGCCTTTCAGTTCCTCAAGCCTGTACTGTCACTTCTTTTTTTTGCCAAGTTTCTTTCCCCTTTACTCTCTAAGGACATTTTTTTCTTTCCTAAATGCATTTTCCTTTCTTTTTAATTTTTTTTCCCCTCCTCTGAATATATGCTTCCTCTTGCTTGATACGTCCCTAAATATATTTCAGCTATAAATCTATTTTATAGGTACACTTTTTTACCTCATTTTTTTTCCCCTGTGACACAAAGAAGGTGACATCCAATAGATCTGGCAAGAAGAGACACAGTCAGAAGATCTGCAACAAAACCAAGTTTTCTCAAAAAAGGCAGATGCATTGAATATGTAATATTTCACCAGTTAAGGATCCTGGAGAGTAGCAAGAAATGTTGATGTTTTGTAGGAAACAGCTATTCATAATGCAAAAATTCCACTGAAAGTAGATGGGTATTATTTTAACTACTGCTGTACTCAATTACAGTTGAGTAAAGGTCAACTTTTCCTCACTACTGTTATCCAAGTGTGTTGTCTACTATCTAGAGAAGTTTAAAATCCACCTACATAGCTTATCTCCAAAGTTTAAAATACTAATGGATAAACTGGGACTTGTATCTTTCCTCCAGAACAAGTTGTAATATTTGGACACACGATCACAGTAGTGAGAAACACAAGATTGGCTGAGTCTATGAAGTAGGTTTAATAGAAAAGTTATTAATAGAACAGCTTAAAATCTGATTGTATTGATAATATATACATATATACTTTATATTATTATTGCTATGTGTATCTTATACATATATTTCTTTGAGCACATAAAATATTTGTTCGCATCTTGCTCTGCATCTTGCATCTTACCATTTATCTGAAGAGCACAAAACCATACCAAAAGAAATATATCAGTATATGTAACTCAGTTTTCAGATTGCTCCCTTTTCAACTGTCTGAGGAGAAAGTAGAGGGAAAAACATGGATTTTTCTAGCTTTCTGGGTTCTGAAAAACTGAGTCCCAAAAGAAGTTTCTTGGCTGAATAGGGCTTGCCTCTCATTTCCACTTGCCTTTCATTGCATTGCTTTTGCTCTGCAGAAATCTTAATTGTGGCAGAAGGAGAGGGAAAAAAGCCTAAGTCTCAAACTATTAAGGTACTTGTAATTTACAATTAACAGCATAAATTTCACTCAAAAGTTTGGTAGAGTCTGCTGAAATTTGTATGGTGCTTGTGTGAAGTGTCCGTACTACGAAGCTTCACTTCGCAGAGGTGAGAGCATTTTGCACTGCTCTCAGATTCAGAAAGGCCCCAGAGTGTAAAGCACATTACAATAATCTGTTAAAATGCTAGCTCAAGGCAGTGGTTATTGTCACAAGGAATGAAACAAAACATGTATTGTGGACCCAGTCATCACTTGCTTTTTCAGAGTAGGGCAGGACCTATCAAACTTGCCTCATCAGCCATTTGAGAATGGCAATTGTGTCTTTCTGTGCTTCTGTTGCTTTTCCCAGCTAACCTGATCTCTGCTTTGTTTGGCTTAAGTTGCTTCTGAACAAATCTTTTTTTGAGGCGCAAGTTCATCTTGACATTGAACAATTTGTTGTGCTTGCTAAAACCCTTGTGATAAAAATAGGTCCTATATTTTCCCCTGTCCTAATTTGTTGTTGCGAGATTCTTCTGTCCTGGCTTGCAATGTCTAGTTTTATTGAGATCCAGTTTAAACGAACTTCTTTGTATCATAATAAATGACCTTGAAAGTATATTTAATTTGTTTGGGTTTCTTTTTCATATTTTTTTACTGAATTATAGGTGCCTTGAGATTGACAAATAACAGCAAAAAAATTAAAAATTAAAGCTTTAAGTTCATTTATATTTGTGATTATAAGCCTCTACCTTTATTTCAATTACTTAACTTGATGAGAGTTGTTTCATGCTGACCTTGCTACACATCTGGCTTTACGATTATTCCATAAAGACAGTCATGTAAACCTAAGAGAAAACATTGAAGCATTTCTTTTCCAAAATCTGTGTCTTTTCTTCCTGGGAATGAAATTCAGAGTTGCAGTCTTAGCTATTATTAGCTAAGGCACCATTATAACATCTAAAAATTCAGTACAGTGGTCTGCATTGCTATTTTTGTAATCAGCCACAAAAATGTTCACTGGACCATGTCAAAAGTAGGTAGTAGAGCCATTCTGCCCGCGGAAAGCAGAATACCGCCTCGGGTGAGGGGGGCCATCTGACAGTAAGTGGGAAAACTTCTGATGGGATGAGAAAGCTGTAGAGACCTCCATTCCACTGACACATAAGCAGACCTGAAAATGCCTTCATACCTGCTTCTATGATATACAGAAGGTATTTCTAACCTAAGACCATCAAGAGATGTATGAGGAGAACTGGACTCTCAAGTGAGCATTCAGTTAGGCTCAAGATTTCTGTAGTATTTTTCTCCACCTTTGCTGACAAATGAATTTAGACATTGCCAACCCATACCTTAGTTCTGTAATTTGTGAAAGAGAATAATGACATTGAGTCCATTTGCTAGGTACTATTTCAAAAAATCAGAACTGACCCCCATCTTCACCCTCTTCGGTGCTGCAGTACCCGCATTTGTCATAGCCAAAGGCAGCAGTGCAGGATGGATATGTTGCTCTCTAGACCCAGGAGATGCTCAGGACTGCCTGCATCAGGACTCTTTCTTACAGATGTGTAAAAGCTGGGACAGTTCGGGAAAGGGAAAAATTCTGTCTATGCTTTATTCCTTTCATGTACTTTCTACCGTGTGTATCCTGAAGTCTCTAGAGCAAAATATTTCAAATTTCTTTGGACTAGGTTATGGGTTGAGGACTTGCTGGGTTTGCCGGGTTTTTTGGTTGTTTCTTTAAGAACAAAACCCCTGAATTGCAGAATTAGAATGATTTCCAAGTGAGACGAAATGCTGTGAGAGAGAGTATTTGGTGGTAATTTACTTGTTACTGTTGTTTCTTTTTTAATTTATATATATAAAATATTTCAGATTTCTTTGGACTAGGTTATGGGGTTGAGGACTTGCTGGGTTTGCGGGTTTTTTTGTTTGTTTCTTTAAGATCACAACCCCTGAATTATGCTGGTCATGTTTAGGTATTTGATTCAGAAAAAATAAATAAAATTTGGCCCAGCAATATATTTTGTCATCTGTTTTGTCAAGGGTGACACATTTTGTCAAATATTCAACACATTTCCTTGCTGAGACCAAAGAGCATAGCTCTAACCATAATTTATGTCAATAGGCTTAACTGAATTTGAATTTTTTTTTAATTATGCATTTGAATTTAAATAACAGCTACCAGTTAGGTCTGTTGCACTAACTGATGCATAAGCATATGGTAAGGGGTTGTACCTGAGTCACAGAATGAATTATCTAAATACTTACTGTAATCAGCATGAACATAGATTATGCTACTATAATGCAAATCAGACTTACTGTTTTCTTGTGTCAGTCAGTGTCCAACGTTATTGCAGAATTAGAATGATTTCCAAGTGAGACGAAATGCTGTGAGAGAGAGTATTTGGTGGTAATTTACTTGTTACTGTTGTTTCTTTTTTAATTTATATATATAAAATATATATATAAATTAAAAAATAATCTCCCTCACTATATATAAGTATACAGTGAGGGATTTTGGCAATTTCAGAGATTATGCAATCATTTAAATAATAAATGCCTTGGTAATTTCACTATTCTTGATTTATTTCCTGTTTGTTACTGTTTTCTTCTTTTAAAAAAAAAAAAACAAAAACTAGTCAAATGTGAATGATTTGCCAGAAAAATTTCAGAAAGGATATTCTGTAATTCCGTATTGGCAGTAGCTGCTACAAAACGGTATTTTCTTATGACTACACATGCACAAAGGCTTCATTTTCAAAGTTAACTATCTGTTAGGGCTCTGTTGTTCTTCAGTGACCTGCTAGCCCACTCAGAAATTAATGGTCTCCATCAGGAGCTGTGCCAAACTATTTCTAACTAAAACGAAGAGGCAGACATGAAACAAAGTCTTTGATGAAGGCATAAAGAAAGATTAGGTAGAAAATAGGGATCCACACAATAAATCCTGGGGGTGGAGGATATCAATCAGATAGTAACAGTTTGGAATAGTGCACATTATAAGTTTGATGATTTAACTACAAAAATACTCCCTGTCCTTCTCTCTTTGTAGGAAAGTGGCATCTTGGGATGAACTGTGAAAGTAGCAATGACTTCTGCCACCACCCCCTCAGTCATGGATTTGATTACTTTTACGGGCTTACCGTGACCAATTTTAGAGACTGCAAACCTGGCCAAGGCAGCGTGTTTTTAAAAGGGGTTCAGAAATCCCTTGTCATCCCAATCCAAATTGCTGGAATCACCCTGGTCTCTTTGGCAATAGTACAGTACATTGGTCTCCTCAAAGTACCTTTCCAAGCATTGGCTTACTGCTTGTTAATAACCGCTATTTCACTTGCGGTTTTGATCTTTTTCTTTTATCATTTTCGACACCTGAACTGCTTCTTAATGAGGGACCATCAGATTATCCAGCAACCACTATCCTATGAGAACCTTACTCAGAGACTGACAAAGGAAGCCGTGCAGCTTATAGGAAGGTAGGTTTCTAGCTATGTTAATGCTGGCATTTCACAATGATGATGTTTCAAAAAAAGTAGAAAAAAGATGTGAACTGGTGGGCACGAGGCATATGTCATTACATATTGTCATCATTTTTTTCCTTTAAAAGATGACTGAAGTTAATCTTTTTAGTGAAAGTGACTTTTTTTTCTATCAGGTATGTCATTATTTTCTCTGAAAAAATTAAAAACTATTTATGTTTACATGTTTCAGAAATTTTTTTCAAAAAAAATCTGACTTTTTTAGGACTTTCATTCTTTAGGATTTCATGTAACTTGAAATATGAAAAATCTTTTGTGGTGTGACTTAATTATGTGAAAGCACAATGCAGAGTCATAATCCATGACTTTTCTGGAATTGGAAACTGTTCTTCATAATTGATTTGATGCATCCATAAAATGGCATTCATAAGGGCAATTTTTTAAGTCACTGTCCTTTTAGATGCCTCCACTTTTATGCCAGATTCATTTTGAAAAGATTTGATTTACAGAAGTTAGGAAATAAATGTTTTTTTGAACAGCCATCACAATGGGTCACCTAAACATTGGATGTACAAAAACATCCTAAGTCATTCTTCATTTTTGCAAAGTTAGCTACTTTGGCATAATTGTCACTACAGGGCTTTTAATAGGATCAAATCATAACAGTATACATTTATATATTCTGAAATATAAACCAGTATATTTGGAGCAAAAATATTTAATACATTTAACTTCTTGAAAAATATGCCAAAGTATTTTTCTCGGTCAATTTTGAAACAGGTTGCACCATTTCTAAAAATAGTTAATCAAAAGTAAAAACATGTTCTAAGACATAAGACGTCCCTTAATTACTATTCTAAAAAGTATGTACCAGGTGGTTACTGTGAATACATTCACATGGTGTCACTGCTGAATGAAAACTCGTACCAAAGAATCAGAGGCTAAATTTGCTAGATTTAATGAGTGCATGCAGTAGTAGTCATCAAGACTTTTAGCAAGAAAAAATGTTTATCTAAAATCTTGATCTCATACTGCAATTTTTTTATCATTTTAATCATTATAAATATTTGATGTAGCCATCTCTACTCATCATACCAAAATAAAATGTTTTTTATATCAAATTTCTTTAAGTAAGTAAGTCTTCCCAACAATCAACATTCTCATGAGTATTTATAAATAAACAAACTAAAACATCTGTATTTCCTCTTGGCAATGGTGATAGGTATAAAGATACCTTCTCATCTGCATTCTAATTTAACAGTGAAGTACTTTGTTTACTACAAACACACACACATACCCGCCTTTGAAAATTGTTGAGAAGTTATTTGCTTAGTGACCAAGCATTTGGCGATTTTAAAAGACTCTTGAGTACATTAACTATATGTTGGCAGATTCTTCCGTGATTTACAAGCAGGTAATGTGCCTGTAGTGATTTGTAGTGTTTTGGATATCTCTGAATGTTTCATTGATTTCAATGCAATGACAATAAAATGGCAGCCCCAAAACAGCTGAGTTCAAGATTGGAAATCAATGCTAGAAAACTAGTAACTCTTTTAACTTTATTAATATTCATAACGTCCACAGTGTTACTGTATAGCTTAGTCAGTGTTTAGAGCTGGGAAGACAATATATCATCTAAGTCAGCATAGCTTTGTTGAGTCAGCTGGAGGTAAGTGGCTTTACGTCAGCTGGGCACTTGGCCTCAGTTCTCAATGTAGTTTCCAGACAAAAGTGATGTTAAATTGAAGTCAAGCACATATTTGTAATTTACAATAAACTTTGTACCAGGAATGCTGCAATTATAGTAAGAGTTATAACCCAGACAATTCAGAGTCAATGTTAAAGAATATCCAAGCACATTAAGGCATTGAGAAGCAATTAGGGCATTCGAGCAATCTTAACTGTGCCCTGTAGTGAATTCACATGCAAAGTATATGACCATAAAACTTGCTCCTGGGGATAGGAGTAATTAGATTAATATTCACTGAACTGATCTGTCCCATATAATAGTGTGAGCGACAAAATCAATATTTGCTTTGACACGCTGGTTCTGACATTATATAGTTCATACCTGTCAACTCCAGTACACCAGTAGACCATTGCTTTTATGACTAATGTACTGACTTTGGCCATTTGTAAGGGAATGGCCATCAAAAGGCAACCAGGTTGCAGCAGCAGGCAGACATCTGTCACTCATAAGTGAAGGGCCATCAGGTTTTTGGAAGCTCCACAGCATTCTTGTGGTTCCACTTCTTTCAGCGAGCAGGCTCCCTCAACCCTCCTTTAGCCACACGTTTGACTCAACACTTGCTTTGCCATACAGGCTTCTTTTGTTTAAATAATACAGTAAGTAACAAGCTCGGTCCTGTACACCAGTAATCCCTGTGTACAAGTACACCAGAGTTCAAACAATCCTGAATTTGAAGAATTCAGAGTCATTCGCCTTCACTGGTTCTTAATACATTTTATCATCAAACTACAAATCATCAGCTATCATGCATGTTTTAATTGGTTAATTATCTTTACAATAAATATATAATGAAGCTCCAATCTTCAACAGCACTGGTACTTCCTATATAGCCCTTTTATGCTATATATATAAAATACCTATGAATGCATATATAGTTATATATATATAACAATTACAACATAAATGTTTTACCTAAGTAAGTTTACTATACCTATTACCTGTATTACCTTTATAAGTTCTTTGGAGTTCAGGCAATGAACTTCCTGACGTTATTCTCTTTTCTAGCTATTTCTCGGTCATATTGTCAGCTTTATGACTTCTTACCATGTATGTAATCATTAGATTTTGTATTTGTCAAGTCTTCTTATAATTTCTTCACAGCATATAGCTATGTGCTGTTATACTTACTTTGGTCTGTTTTTTGGAGAACTGATATTGTATTTGTTCTTCCTTAGTCTAGGATATGTGTATTACTGTTTTCATTTGTTCCTAGGTAGATTGAAAGAGAGCAAATACAATATTCAATGCTCAGAAATGGCACTGGAGAAGAATATACACAATATACAAGTGTCAGATCCAGTGTGTGAAAACACATACTAGTTTAGTTGCTTACCCTAATTGTAAGTGGGCAGGTCAGCTCAGTGTACATTAATTGTAATTACTTTTTCCCAAGAGCAACTGTGTGTACATAGTGTAAACCTATCAGAACACTCTCTAGACATTACAGTATATTTGAAAGTCAAATGGATGCTAATTATTTCATGTTAAGTTCAATGTGGTTGTCACTCGTGTCTTCAGCATGTCCTTTAATGACCAGCTGCACAGACAATCCAAATTTGGAAAATGCCAGAGACCTTTTTTTAACGTATCAGAAATTAACAAGACAAAAGTACCACTCTATGATACAGAATACCTCTCTGACAATTTTGGATAGCTGATCACAATAATAATATTTAAAAAAAAAATCCTAATGAAATCTAACTTCTGGGAAACAGTATTTGCATACAAACATGGTTATATTCAAAAGCTATCATGAAGATGATGTTGAACAATTTTAATGCAGATTTATTTTTTCAGTCATAGATTGCATAGCTATAATATTCAAAATTTTGTAATGTCAGTTAATACATTTTTTATTTTCTTTTTATCTATTCTACTTCAGTCCTTAAAACACTGTTACAACACACATTCAAATTTACTTTCATGTAATCTAGCAGGCTGTGATTTAGAGGTTTTCCATATATCACTAGGTCTTAAGATCAGGCAGTTGGCATGTTGTACTGGAGTTAGAGTTCTGAAATCAAGTGTTTTTATGAATCTTACAAGAAGATTCCTTACAGTTTACAGCAAAATACAAATTATAGAGAGGAGTTTGTGTATCTTTGTATACGTGATGTATATGTGCACATATATTAAGAAAGGGTAGTAAATTATAAATCATAACAACTCTACTGGATCTTCATCCCTTTTTCTCAGCCCTCTGCTTGTTCCTTTTGAACAGAAGAGCTAAAACATTTATTCATATACTGTAGGGCCATCTGAAAATGGAAGATTTTAGTCATTTAAGTAATTTAAGATGATTAAGGGCCTAACTAGTTCTGCAATGAGTGACAGACTGCATTTTAAATGGAACACTTCTAAAAAGCAATATATCGGTATACTGGGCTCCAAAGTTTTGTGGGGGAGAGGGATTTAGTAATGTAAATTTAATAATTTGTAGTAGGTGAGAAATTTCTTTTTTTCCCCCATGCTTACAAGAATGTACTTTCTGAAGGGAAGAAAAAAGGTTTTGTACAAAGGAAATAAAAACATTTATGAGTTGTGTACCTTAAGCGTTTAAGGGAAGAAATAGGCATGAAATTAGGGATGTCAAAAGTATCTTGGCTATTTGCATGGAAGAATCATTTCAAAAATACAGATATATTAGTAACACGTCCTACTTTTAATATCTTCTAGAAAGAGACAGATTTTCCATATTTTTACTTTGGTTTTGCCCCTTTCTCATTCCATTTTCAACACCTTTTCTTTTTTTGGTAAGTTACCCCCACATGGTCTGGAGCTCTCTTTTCTGATTTTGAAAAATTTTGAAAATATGAGATTTGTGTTTTAAGGTGCGTCTTTTAAGAGAGTGGTACAGAAATATTCACTCACGAATTCATGCATGCTAACAAGGATTTTAGCACTGTTAGCGGCCAGAGCAAAACGAAATCTGGGTAGTAGGACAAAGTCCTGCTTTGATACAACTAAGCCAAGGTACACCTTTTTCTTCTGCAGGAACAGGGCTTAATGAAGTGCATTCAGCCAATCCAGTCACAAAGAGCACTGTCTAATTGGTGATCTAATCGGGAAGTAGAGGAGGGAGCCGTGGGGAATAAGCATTGAATGAATTTATCCCCTGGGGGGATACTGAATGTTTTAGGAGAATGTTTTTAGTAAAAGGAGAGTTACAGGAAAGGAAAAGTTAGGTTTGCATCTGCCTGCATCGACACACTGTTCCACATTTGTGCTGAAAAAGTATCTTCAGATTATATACTGGAACATTTTTGTTTTCTTTCGTCTTAGCTGTGACTCTGGTGTACTGTGGCTATGTGAAAATGACATATTCTCATTGAGTAAGTCTTATTAAATCATGTGTACTTATTCTTATAAGAGGTAATATATTTTACCCCTATATCTATTTAAAATAGTTCTTCGCAGGCTATTTCAGTCTTATGGGTGAATTAGCTGTAATTTATAAGACTTTGGGGATTACAGAAATAATTGTTAACCTAATTTTAACACAGCACAGTGTTTGCCCAGCTCAGGCAAAGCCAAGTTTATTTGCTTTCATAGTCAGCTGCTGTGAATCATAGTACCTCCACTGGTATGGGGGGTGTAGTGGTCTAACGGGTTAAAAATATGGACTTTATGGCAGAATGTGAAGATAATTTCACACCTAGCAAAAAAAAAGTTGTTCAGAAAAATTGTACTGTCCATCATATTAAAGGTTAATTTAGAATGTATTGTGAAAAAGTAAAATGGAGCCCTGTCATGTCATGTTCCCATTTCGTTTCCAGTACAGAGTCATGTAAACGGAAATCTCAGTTTGATTTGACAACCACAGGCCAACAAATTCAGAGCCCCACCTGTTGCTCTGCTGCAGCGGTCTCAGATTAACATCAATGCACACAAAAGCAAACAAAAGTACCCAAGGAGTTTTCAATGCAGCAAGTATTTAGAGCAAAATTGCAGGAAAAAAGAGAAAAGATCCATGTGTGAAGCACAGAGTCAGATTAGTTGTAACTTGCACTCTCACCCACTTTAAAGCTGTGTTTTACAGCTCAAGCCTGAACTGAATCCTTGAGTAACGTAAAGGTTCCTCGCACTAAAAAAGAAGAATCTAGTACTATGCAATATGCAGAGGAGTCACCAGCAGCGTGATGCTTTTAGATGTTTTCAAGATCAGTTAAGCACACATTAAAGGATGTCTTATGTCAGATATGTGTAATCTCTCTGGCTACTCAGTAAATTGAAGAGACTCTGTGATTCATGTTAGGATAAAAATGTTTACTGTATTTGATAAGTGAAGCTCAGATCTTTTGAAACTGAAGTTCCCTGTGTTTGAACTGTGTAAAAGATAGTGGCAATACGTTTTTGAAGGAGCTGTTTACTGAAGTGGTTCAGGAGTTAAGCTGTTATTGTCAAATTTCTCTCCTGCCTACTAGCTGATATTGTCATTCCATTTTCAAGGTCACGGTAAAAGTAATCAGTTACGATTCTCCTCAAAGAGTTTTGGCAGGGGATAAATAGCTGCCTGTGATCTTTTATAGGATATTAATAGGTGAGACACTTCTCCACCTGACGGTGAGCTGTCAATCAGAACCTGTCAATCTGAGTTGCAAAGAAGAGAATGATGTAGTGCCCTTCCATATCAATCATTGATTCGATGACTCTTCATGAAAGTTAGATCTTTGTGTCAGTTCAATTTAAAAACAAAAACCCAGACCTGTGTTATTATCTCTTGAAAATAACATTTAAAGTGGAGGCTTTTGATACTCACTTCTAGCAATACAGATATACATTTAGAAGTATGCGCTATCTCTGTGACATTAGAACAAGGCAGTTTGCATGAAAAGTAAATTGTGCCTGCACCGTTATAAGTATAAAGTAGATTTTTGTGGTGGTTTACCCTAGAATTTGTATATTACTCTCAATTCAGTGAACTGTGTTTAAGGAAAAAGTCAAAGATAATCCCATGCAGTAAAAAATGCAGGTTGTAAAACAAAAATCGGCTGCCTTGCAGAAATGTTCTTTAATGAAAGGTCAGTGTTACATTAATATACATATGAAATATTAAACTTAAAAGTATACTTTTTTTTTCTTGAAGTGCTGATATTTTCAGTCTTTTTAATTGATTCAGAAGTCTCGTGTTATTTGTTGCTACAGTAATGAAAGGTTCTCCCGTATATGACCTCTCAAATAGCAACAAACACAACTTCACGAAAAGTGTATCTTTTATGAAAAATATTGTCTTTTCTTTATTTTTTTTTAATCTGTACTTTATAATACTAAGATAATACAGGATGCATGCACAAATATTTGAAGGGAATTCAAATAATTTTGTTTCCATTTTCCGCATGAAAAATGTTCTATTTATTCTGTCATTTTTTTAAAAAAGAAACTTTTTAGGAAGAAAAAGTCCCAGTCAGAAACACACTTATCAAGTGAGTAATCTGGATAAATTTTTCCCATTTTTTGTTTATGTACTGCTGCCTATGCCAGTAAAAAAAAAAGCTTTAACCATGCGACTTGTGCAAAAACAGATCCAACCAAGGAGAGAGGAAAAATGGATCATAAATATACTAGATTAAACCTAGTTATTTTTCATTAAGAGTAAAGTATTGATATAATATTAATCAGTTTTTTAAGAGACTTTGTTTTCAGGTTCTAAAGGTTAGAAATTTTTTTTCATTTTAAAGAAACAGTTAGTATGTGCATCCACCTTTAAAGGGTGGGTGAATCAGCTGCATGAGGAAATATATAGTCTCCCTTTGATGTTGACATGAATCACAGGTATTATCCACCACAGATTGGCGAGGGAAAATATGGTAAATAAAGCCAGAAGTGCTCTGTAATTATCTGTGTGCTTTAAGGTGAGATCCAGACAAGTTTTCTGGGTAGTGCTTTTGTGATTCAACTGATGTTTACAATATGCGTAATGTACTACAAATGCTGTTAGAGCATATAGCAGTAAATTTGGCTAGTACTGCACAATATTAAGTAAAGTTCTATAAATAATGCATAAGAAAAAGTTCTTACTTGAACTGTGCTTTTACAGCCTGCTGGAACTGATCATAATATTGTGTTGACTGATCGCATGAACAGCAAAATTTACAAAGAGTCTATTTATTGCACTCTTTCTTTTGTATCAGTTCAGGAAATAGACTGAAGACAATGGAGACTGTTCATTACTGTGCAAGGAAAAATATTTCTTTATATTAGTATGTACTTTGAGATTACTTATTCTTTGGTACAACATACTTGTAGAGCTGTGTACTGATCACATGCATACACACACAGAGCATTAAATGGCAGGAGAAGATTTGGTCATATACCTTAGTCCAGGATAAAGAAGGAGGAAAACTACTAGTAGACTTGGTTTGACATAGTCAGTGATATTACAGTATGTTTGACCCTGGTCCTCATAGTCTAGTTGATCAGCTTCCATATGACCTTGTGAGGAAGGCAACTGTGTTTCACATATATATGCAGTTCTGAAAGTATGTTTTTGAACAGCGGTTTTATTCAGGCTTTTAAATACATACTCGTAAAATGAAGAGAGGTGCTTGTAGCCAGAAATTTCTAGGTTCCTGGCTTTGAACACATCCTCCTTCAATATATATAGCAAACAGTAATTAGTTAGATTTTGTAGTTTATTTTTGCTTTCAATTCAGTATACAGTTAAGAATTGCATTTTTACTTTGTGTGTGTGTGCTCCAGATTACCCTGTAATCAGTTATAGTATTCTTTTTCCTCTTTTTTGGTGAGGTTGTTTTTTGGAGGTTTTTTTGAGCTCTACTGTAAACAGATTTCTTTGTAGAAATTTTGTTCTAAAATATACTAAGGGTTTGTGGGTTTGTCTTGTTTTGTTTTTTTTCCAGGAATACTGATGCACCATTTCTTCTTGTCCTGTCTTACCTTCATGTCCACACTGCTCTATATGCTTCAGAAAGTTTCAGAGGAAAAAGCAAGCATGGTTTATATGGGGATGCAGTGGAGGAAATGGACTGGAGTGTAGGTATGTTACATGTGCTTCTAACGTCAATGGAGGGAATTCATGGAAGACTTGTTGAGCTCTACTGTAAACAGATTTCTTTGTAGAAATTTTGTTCTAAAATATACTAAGGGTTTGTGGGTTTGTCTTGTTTTGTTTTTTTTCCAGGAATACTGATGCACCATTTCTTCTTGTCCTGTCTTACCTTCATGTCCACACTGCTCTATATGCTTCAGAAAGTTTCAGAGGAAAAAGCAAGCATGGTTTATATGGGGATGCAGTGGAGGAAATGGACTGGAGTGTAGGTATGTTACATGTGCTTCTAACGTCAATGGAGGGAATTCATGGAAGACTTGCATTCATGTCCACCAAATGCAGACTTCTGTAATTTGTATGTCTACAGTATATCCGACATACTTGTCCTTTATACTTAGGGGAAAGAAAGGCACAGTAATCTGATCTCTTGTAATATCTACTTTATGACCAAATTTATTGTGTCCTATAAAAGCCTGTTCTCTTTGACTATGAAGGTAGTCCATACAGTATGGACTTAGCAGAGATATGGACACCTTAACTGTGGACATTTGAAGCAGAGTAGTTGAATCCAACCCCATGAGCTTCTGGGTGCCATCTGGCCTCTGCAGGTTGTCCTCATAAAACGATATACTAACTCGAAAAGTGACCACATGATATTGATATAATAAATAAAATGACTACAATATGCACTGTTAGCAAAAGTAATTTGCTAATTATTTTAGTGAGTTCTCTGAATTAGTGAAGTCACTCAGGTGAGGTCCACTTCTGTTCATGAAGAATAGTCAAAACCAAACAATTTGCCCTTCAAAGCCTTCCATTCTCTCTGAGGCTAGAAAGCAGTTGCATCTTTCAACAGGCTTTCCTTATCTCTAGATGTATTGGAATGAATCTCTGATTCCAGATGTAATCACCTGTGAAAACAACTAACAGTTCAGATCTTAAAATAATCATATTGGAGAACAGCAGTATTAGGAGCTAAAGATGAGCTCACATTACATACCCCAAGTCGATTCTGTTCTCAGTACAGCCCAGTGCAAAGTGGCTTTCTTCAAGAAAATGTTGCTTCCTTATTAAGTTGCTGTAAACAGATATTCAGCTTTGGTGCATACATATTTTTAAACTATGCAGGCATGTGTAGTTAAGCATCATGTATATTTTTTTGCGTATTTTGCATCAAGAGGTCTAGTTGCAGAAGGTAGGGGACAAACAGCAGCACAGTACATTTAGTGATTTATAATATATTTAGTGCAGTATTTGCAAAAATGGGGAAAACCCTTGTGGGAAACTGTGATACACTTAGTATGAAAGGTTTTCAATGTGGAAGATAACAGAAAAAACCTCTTTTTTAAATCAGGTTTTGTAAAGAGAGAGTGGCTTTCATTCCAGTTGTATTACACCCTGAATCTTTATCACTTCCTTCAGTGGCCACCAGCATTTGGTCAATGAAGTGCCTTCATTAGATAAAAGTATGCATGTGTTGTCATTTCTGTTTGCATCTGCATTGTAGTAAGCTACCGAGCATTAGCTGGTCTTACCATCTGTGTTTGATTTGACTATTTCTTTTTCTGTTCCATGATATTTAGCTTATCCCAACCTAATTGGTCATTTGCTGCTGCCATTACATTTTGCTGCCTCCTTCAGGAGCGTGGCTCTGGGGTTTAAACAGCAAGTTGGAAACCAAGGCAGCTGACGTGCTGCTGTTTCAGGCTATTTAATGATGCAGAGGTGGTAACAGATTGAAAACCACTGCTCTTTTCCAGAATGACCACAGGCTCTTAGGAGATGTGTCAAACAAACCAAACTGTAGGACAGAAGCATATTATTAAAAAAGCTTGGGATAAATCAAAGATACAAATTTAGTGGTGATAACATAGGAATTTTGAACAAACTCAGAGAGGAGATACACGAGTTTCTTCATGTATTGTCCTTTACAATCCATTGCAGGAGCATCAGGGGCAGTGGAGCTAGCTTAATCAATCAGGAAACAGATCCTCATCTGTCATAAACTAGTATACAAGCATCAAGTTTTGTTTCGGTTGGGGGTCTGGTTACTTGGTTTTGCTCATGTCATGTAAGACTCCTCTGTTGACAGATTGCGTATTTGCTCCAGGAGGTAGAAAACGTGTTTAGTTCCTCTGTTACTTTCTCCTCCATTATTAGAATGATGAAAAAAAGTTATGGCTGACATTTCCAAAGGAGTCTGGAGGAATAATATAGCTTTTTTTCTTTTTTTTTTTTTTTCAATTGAAGGGAGTACTTATTTCCATTAACTTCCACTGAAAATTCCAGTCTTAATGCATCAACTGTGTCAGACAAAGTAGATTTATTCACTGTACTGCTGATGTCAGTAACCAGTATTTTCTTGGAGTGCCTCTGAAGATGTTACAGTAGAAAAGTCAAACAAAATTGTCTGGAAAAGCTGAAAAAGTGAAAACTATAAGCTTTCCACAAAGGGAGGTTTTATCATTCACTAGACAGAAATTAGTATTTATGCATAGATGAATGTAACTTGCAAGGGCAATAAGAACAAAATAGCCCAGATATAACAACATGCTGTAAAAGCTTCTAATTAAAGACAACACACGCATAGGAATTAAAAATGAGTGTATGGAAAACTGCATTATAGTACAACATCAGAAATATTTGGCATCTGGTAGGAAAAGAAACACCAACTTCAACTCAATTTTAAAAGAAACTTACAACGTGTTATCTGCTGAGTGGGAAATATTGTGGAAAACCCTTGTGGATGAAAAAAAAAAAAAAGAGTAGGAGAGAAGTTAGAAGTTCGGACTGTCAGGTACCGGTGATGAAAAAATTGTATCAAGATTGGACCATGAAATGCAAATGAAATATTGTTCCTGATTTGAGAGATCAGCTGGAATCAGAAAGAAGACTTTAGCTGCCATTTGCAAGAGAAAAAGCAACAGCCTTTCTAGTAAGACAGAGAAGTCCACTCAGACTGAGAATTCTAAATAGAAGACAAGTCTCCATTATCATTTGTTTATTTATTGAGAATCAATTACCTAATTGGACAATAATTCAATTATAAGGCAATCTCCATGCTAGAAGGAGAAAAACCTATAAGACACATGAATAAAATACTCCTTTGAATATTTCATGTTTGTGACTTGTTAAACGAATACTGAAGAGAATGACAACAGTTCTTGTCAAAAATATGAAATACAAAATCTCTGGATAAGCTTTGGGACCATGTGTGTCTACTGCTTTTGCATACTGATGTGTGTATAACAGAATTCAATGTTTAAAGCATTCACAGTTATAATGTCACTGCATGTGACATGCCTTAGAGAGTTATTCTCTGGCTAATAACATTAATTTTCTTTCAGTGTAGGCTAAGCACCTTATTAATGCTATTAATTATAATTCATATGAGAGCAGATGAAATAATCTTACAGTCTAAAAATGGAAAAAGAAATGATGAATGAATGAATGCAATATTATCCTTTTCTTCCCTCCTCCCTTCTTCTCTTCTTTCATTCCGTCATTCCCGATTGAGTATAGGAAGAGAAATTGATATGTTCAGAAATTGTTTTTGCTGTAAATTGCATTACACTAATTTAATCCAAAACAGATCACTGCAAAGAGTTTTGGAGCCCCCTGTAGACTTGCCTGCAAGCTGTGTGAAGACAAACTAATTCAACACCACTTTTGCAAATGGCTGTTTATTGTTCTGTTAACAGTAGCAAAAGTACATATCAGTTCTTAATCCTTTGTGGAGCAATCACAACTGAATGGCTTAAGTGTAAAAAAGTCTCAGAAATTGTAGTCTGGCAGAAGCTAGGTAACTGCAGAGTGGGGGCCTTGTCTGAATATCTTTATTATGTGAATGCCCTGCAAGTTGAAAAAAACTTAACTGCCTCTGTGCCATTATCTTTTGACCTATCAAGTTATGCCAAGAAAATATTACCATCATCTGATGTTAATTAGAAGAAAAGGAATGGAAATAAATCCCAATGCATCTTACATGTAACTTGTGTTTGAAATATCTTAAAAGGTTTGGTAGTGTTATATGTGAAGAGAGTAACTCTGTATCTCCCCAGTACAAGAGGGATATGGAGCTACTGGACAGTGTCCAGCAAAGGGTCAAGAAGATGATTAAGGGACTGGAGCATCTCTCCTATGAGGAAAGGCTGAGAGAACTGGGACTAGAGCTCTGTTCAGCCTGGAGAAGAGAAGGCTGAGGGAGGATCTTATTAATGTATGTAAATATCTGAAGGGAGGGTGCAAAGAGGATGGGGCCAGGCTCTTCTCATTGATGCCCAGTGACAAGAGGCAATGGGCACAAACTGAAACACAGGAGGTTCCCTCTGAACACCAGGAAAAACTTTTTTACTCTGAGGGTGACCAAGCAGTGGCACAGGTTTTCCTGAGAGGTGGTGGAGTATCCCTTCTTGGAGATATTCAGAAGCCATCTGGACAGGGTCCTGGGCTCCAAGTGGCCCTGCTTGAGCAGGGGGGATTGGACAAGATGACTTACAGAGGTCCCTTCCAACCTCAACCATTCTGTGAGCCTGTCAGATGCTGAAGAAAAGAAAAAAGCTATTCACTAAAGTCAATTCATATTTTGAAACAAAATCAGACATTACCTCTAAAAGTCAGCCTAGAGGAACCAAGGAACTCATCACTGAAGCAAACAGAAGCAAGATACTTTCATGATACTCTCCTCCTCTGCTTCTCTCTTGTGAGACCCCACCTGGGTACTGCATCCAGCTCTGGGGTCCTCAGCACAAGGAAGACATGGACCTGTTAGAGCAGGTCCAAAGGAGGGCCACAAAAATGATCAGAGGAGTGAAACACTTCTCCTTTGAAGAAAGGTTGAGAGAGTTGGGGTTGTTTAGCCTGGAGAAGAGAAGGCTCCGGGGAGACCTTACTGCAGCCTTTCAATATATAAAGGGGGCTTATAAGAAAGATGGAGACTTGTTAGCAGGGCCCGTAGTGACAGGACAAGTGGGAATGGTTTTAAACTG